TAAGGACTAGTTGCTAACAGTTAATTTCTACTAACTTCTTAATCATTATCCTTATAAAAAAAAAAAAAAAACTTGTAGTCTAAATCATGGTTTTAAAACCCGGCCCAGTCCGGTCGGTTGAACCGGTTGAATCGGACCCGGGCTTAAAAACGGGCCGGTTTCATGCATTGGCCCGTTTTGCAAGTTGGCCCGCGTTGGCCCGCGTTAACCCGCCAGACCCGCTCCAAACTCCTAGCCCGTCCCACCCGCCGGGCCATCCCTCTGCCTCATCCCTGCTCCATCTCCGTGAGTTCATCGGCATCTCACCACAGCAGTCACCACCTCATCACCTCCGGCAAAGCGGCCTGATCTCCCTGCTCCACTTCCATCAAGATCTCACCACCAGTCACAGCCTCATCTAGTCATCTCCTCTGCTGAACAGAAGCAACAAAGCTGCCCAACCGACTCTTGACGACCACATGAATCAAATGGCGGATCTCGTTCAGAAGCTCTCTTCGGAGCTCCGTTGGGGCCTCCGACCAGCCTACGACAATTGCATGGGATTCTTCCATGCAATCGATTGGAGTAGATAAGGATCAGGAAGCGAGCTTGAATGGAGAAAAATGGTAGAAAAAGAAAGAAGATAAGGCGAAGAAGGTGATGGTTTCAAAAAAAAATAATAATAAAAGATCTGATGAAAAAACCATAAGAAATTTGATGAAAAAACCATAAGAAATTATGGAGAAACAAAGAAAACTCTCTGCAAATTGTAAAACCCAGAACAGAAGAAAGCAGCGAGAAACAGAAGGAACCATCGACGAGCTCCAGATCTCAGCCACCTCCGTCGGCGGCAACACAACTCAACGTCCAGCCGATCGTCCTCATCACTCATCTCCTCTACCGAGCAACACAGTAAAACAGAACAAAATCAACAGATCATCCTCATCTGCTTCATCTCCTCCGTCAATCACGGCATCTTCATTTGCTTCATCTCCTCCGCCGAGCACCTCCTCCTCATCTCCTCCGTCGATCATGGCGTTCTCATCTGCCTCATCTCCTCCACCGCTCCTCTTCTTTTCCTGCCTCCACTGAGCAGAAGCAGCAGCAGAAATGAGAATCTGCAACAGCTCATCGAACATATCGTCAAAAACTGAAAAAAGTGTGATTTTAGGTTGACCGGTTGGACCGGTCGGGTGAACCGGTTCAACCGGTTGAACCAGACCCGGTGGCCAAAACGGGTCAGCCACCGGGTCGGGTACAAAAACATTGGTCTAAATAAAAAAAAATTAAAAATAAAAGTGACCAATGTGAGCACAAGTGCTTGTGCACTCGGGTCTATCATAATTGCACGTAGCACTCCTCTCACTTGAGATAACAAAAATATATTTCAAGCACTATCAAAAAAACGAACATATATTGCTAGTAAATTAAATGATTAAAAAATCCTCCTAACGAACAGAGGCAGACAACTGTGGAGACATAAGTCTTGAACTAAAAGATGGATTGTCTTGATGATTCCCCATACATATGACTGAAAGACACTTTCGACACCAAAAGAAAAATGCAAGTTCAAATTGATTTCAAAAGAGAAAAAGCTACTCATAATTAAACTGAAATTCTACCTGCAGATACTTTCTAGCTAACCGAACCATGGATGATGAAAAATCAACTAACCCGAGATCTTCACAGAGCTTCTTTTCACAATCAAACCTGTGAATGGCTATTTTCCTCAGGTTGGGGCATCTCCACATGATTCCTGCAACCCAATCTGAGAAGCCATAATAACTTGCACAACCAAGTTCCAAGACAGCCACATTCTGCAGATGAGATAACCCCTGCAAACTAAAACGGATTTCCTCCACATTATAATATAGGGATAGATTGGTTAACTGAGGGAAGGAAGCAGGTATCCTCTCCAAGTCAATAACCTCATGCACATTAAGAAACTTAACATGCCAAAGCCGAAGCCTTCTCAAATTTGACGATCTTGGGATCATGTGATAGAGCTTTGACCCTCTGTGATCGTGAAGTCTTTAACATCCACTATCTCCAGATTCTCCATCCTGTCCCCAATATCAAAATATCTGATCTTAACATCATTAATATTCAGAACCTTCAGAGTCCCTTTCCCAACAACCTTGAAAAGCATAAAATTACACATCTGCAAGTGCGAATTCAAGACTATCAGCCTTCAGTGTAAACTTCTCAAAACGGATTGCTAAAAGATCTACAGTCTTCAATGAAACAGAACTCAGTTCCACGGTTGCCATTGAATCTAAAACTAGATTCACAAGAGTCAAGTTCTCAATCTTAGGACATAAACTGAGCAGAATCCTCAATTCCAATGCTGAGACAGTAACGTCCTCCAGCCGAAGTGTCTTCAAGCAAGGAAATTTCTGATAACTACCTACACCACGGACAATAGATAAATATGCCCCAACTCCAACTCCTCCAGCTTTTTCCAGTGACATCTCTCAAGAATATTGATACTTGGATATATTCTAACATACAGATTCAGTTCACGCAAGGTATCTCTAGTATGCATAAGCCAAGTAAGCACGTGGTCAGCTAAGAACTCATCATCAAAATCAATCAAGAAGAATGATAAACACTGTAGCCCCTTGGTTTGCAGAATTGTTTGAGTGATGATACTCTGTATTCTATCGATTGAGTGATCACAATGATAAATGAGCCAAAAATCATACCCCAAAGAATGTGAGAGAGTGAAGGTGATAAAGGAAAAGCCTCTCTCCATTTCTGGCAAGTAACAGAAGCAACAACTACATCACGTGCAGTTCTAAAGTGAGAGAGTATGTTCCCTATAACTTCAACAGGAAAGTGCTCCATACCAAATCAACTGAAGCACCAAATAGCAAACTTGGGCTTGGCCAGATGTTGTTTCTAAAACTAGATATAGATGACTGCCAATCCAACAATCTGCAGTTCTCAAAGCAAACAAATAAAAAAAAAAAAAAAAAACGAAGAGACAGTTTATCAGAAGTCAATCAACAATGATATCAGCCAATTAAAGTTAGAATAAAACAAAAACCCATATCAACATTTTAGCCTTTTCCATTTAGCCACAAAATCATTCAAGCATTCACTAAGTGATATTCTTCATTATAATAAACAAAAAATAAAAGAAAAAAGAAACATAAGCGTTTGTATGCATCTCCTTAAATGCGAATTAACTTTAGAAGAATCCAAGAATAATTACAAATGACCAATTAAGATAGTGGATTTACATAATAGCACCTGCATGATAAAAATTTTAAGAGAAAACTCAAAATAAGCCAATGCCTAGATGATGGTACTAGATTTACTTGGAAATCAATTGAAAGAGATTGCCAGAGAGAATTTAGAAACCATCTGATAAAATGTCTTATCTAAAATACGGGAAGTGATGAGACTTTTCACCATTAGATGGCGGCGTGTCTTTCTATATATATATATATTTATTTATTTATTATTGTTTTTTTTTATCAATAAGTTATATGAAAAAAATAAAAAAAAATTAACTTTATTTTCAATGCCAATAACATGTAAATAATTTTAATAAGACAGTTGATAATTTAATTTTTATTTTTTCTATAATAATTAAAGAGAAAAAAATGTAATAAATATATATATTTTGGTCTTGGTTGTACATAGGAGGCAATTATTTGTATCTTTTATCTTACCCCACTCGCATGTCATGTGATGATTTGAATTCAGAACCTGTTTTAACAAAATGAGATAATTATTGAGTTATTCAGGTTGTTAACATAATAAATATATCTTTAAGTTACATTAAACAAATTTATATACATATGAGATAAAATTTTTTGACGCACAACCCTTCCACAAAATCATAGCCATTCATAGAAAAGAATGACTCAAATTAATCATGACTTTAAGATGAGAAAACAATACAAAAACTGAAATATATATAATTTTTACAATCTTAACATAATGCAAGTTAAAACTGCTATATTTGCATCATATTGATGATAACCAAACCCTAATTAAATCCTAACCCCCAACCCCTAAACCCTAAATAAATTACTACAATAGATCATTGTACCATAATATGTATAATTTAATCAAATTCAATTCTAACATCTGTGCATCTAAATAGTGAGTGACTCACGCAATAAAAAGGAAAGGATGGGTGGCACGCCGGAAAATTTGCAATATCAGTGTATTAGAGCACTCGAGAAGGAGACTGTAATTTCGAATGCCATCGGAGAGGAGAAAACCGCCGACCCAAACCCTGCAAAAAGAAGGAAGAAGGAGATGCTATTTATAGTCTGCTTTCCTTTTGGTCAATATTATTTTTGGTACCTAACCTTTTATTGTCCCCGTTAATTTCATCCAAACCTTTTTCTCCAAGTATGAAGACTTTTGAATAATTTCAGTCATCCTTTCCATTCAACCCCAACTGGCGACAACGTCCAATTATGAAGGAGTAGTTATTGTCACGCTTGATTTTGTTGAACTACGCACATGTTTTTATTATAATTTATTAGTTTATAGTTTTTTTTAAACAATTAATTATGATATTTAAAAATATTTATTTATAAATTAATTTTAAGATGTTAAATAATAAATATTAATTCTTTGATCAATTACCAACTATTCTTAAGAGTCAAATTAAGATAAAAATTTAACTTCATAAAGAAAAGATAAAAATTTGATAATTTCTTAAGCTTGAATAAATTTAAGGGTGGTTATCATAACCATAGCCCATTTATGAAGAAAATAACTCACCATAATCTTATATTTTTCGAAGAGAATGATTTTTTAATTCGAACTAACTAATGTAAGTGTCAATTCGGGCAAAATTTTTAATCTCTAATTTTTTAATTTTTCATTTAGGTCTGCAACAACAATTTTATTCAAGAAACATCAATTATGATTAAGTATTTTTACTCAAATATCAACCCCTATATCAATATGTTATACAGCTCTAGGCACTACTTATGGGTGATGAAAGAGTATTATACCAAAGGATAGTTATGTAATTCTATTAATACTTGTACATATATTCATATAAATATTGTAACCCCTATTTTATGACTTTACTTTAGAAACAAAAATTACGTGTGTCAACTTCAAATTTTGAATAGAAAAATTTATCCTTCTTCCTTTTCAAAAGAACAATTTCACAAGGGTTTACCACTCATTTTTCACTTATCTATTCTCCTTTATAGCCTTATGGGGTATATAAACGATCCTATCTATTGATTTCCATGTGATTATGCAATCTATCAAAAATGTTACCATACTTGTGAGTTATAATTATGAACTATATTAACTTTTTTTTATTTGGATCACATATGATATTCAGATATTATATGTATTTATTAGTTTAATATTGGACCATGATTCATGCACACCCCAATTCAACACCCGATGGTACTCACTCTACATAACCAAATAATTTTAAAAGTAAAATTACAAATTTATCCTCTCACTAAACCATTTTCCAAATGACAATAAGAACAAATCTCAACAAAACTCAATCAAGAATTCAAGCACCAAATCCATCCTTACCCTAATCATCTGCAAGACAATTAGCAACCGTACTAGGTTCCCACCTTCTTCCTCTTTTTTTTTTTTTTTTCATTTTTTCTCCTGGGTTCTCCAGCAGAACCCAGATCAAGGTCGTAGAACCCAGATTGAGTTTTGTTGCAGAACCCAACAGAACCCACATCTGGGTTCTCCAGATGGAGAGAAAAAAAAAAAAAAAGAGGAAGAAGGAAAAAGGAAGAAGATAATGAATTTGTTAAAAGAGAAAGATGCAGAGACAAGAAGAAAAAGTGGTATTGATAGGAAGATGACTTTTAAGGTTAAATTTGTAATTTTATTTTTAAAATTATTTGGTTATGCAAAGTGTACACCCCCGGGTGTTGAACTGGGGGGTGTACAAAGCATTTTCCTTTAATATTACATTGTCATTGCAAACTTATAATCTTACTTGATATTAGTTATAAGTATATCATTTTTAAAGATCTAATATACACATGGGCAAATACCAAAGATGTTTTAACTTTTGACACACGTCTTGAAAGAAGTATAAGAGGATTACTTGATTATTGTCTGGTTTAGATATTCTTGCAAATTCTCTTCATAACATAATAAGTAATGTCTTTGTAATTAGGTGACAAAATATTTTTCGTATGAGTGAACCAAACTTCTAAATCAAGCTACAGGTACATAAACATGAATGATTCTCATTTGTTTTGCGTGACTTTTTGCTTGTTATGTTTTGGATGAATTTTATCTTACAAAAAATATTAGCTAACAAGGCAAACAAACATGAGTTCATATTCTATTCTAAATTGTTGGTTTTTAATTTTGATATTTTTATTTTATTTTGTTCTGTTTGTTTGTGAAAATAAATGGAATTCAATTATAACTTCAGAATGAGATATTGGAATAAACTAAAGTGACAGAATACAAATTGAGAGAATGAATAGCAAAAAGGCTCATCCATGCTCAACAAAAAGATTTCATGATAGATGTCATGAAATAATCCAAGGTATATTTCTTATTTTTTCTTGTTAAATTGTCAATGTTGTTGTTCAAGACAAGAATTCAGTGGTGTTGTTGATATCATTTTCTGATAATTCAAGTTTGCGGAAAGCTAGACGAACTACGGCAAAATTGTTATATGGCAACGTACAAAAAATGTAGTTAAATTCTCAAAAATATAATCCTGTTAAATACTATAGCTACGCATACAAATATGTAGGTAATGTAACATGTAGCTATAGATAACCTTCTACCTATTAGAATTTAGTAGCTTAGGAAATTAATATTTTGTAATAATTTTGTAGTGTATTTCTAGAAGTTAGACACACAGAAACCCACTTTCTTTCTGACAAGCATGGTCATCAATGGAGCCTCAGCTCAAAAATCTAAAATTGCAAAAATTTACCCTTATCTTTGTGATTACAACTCCCTTTGTACTCGAATGTGGAAGAAATTACATGAAACAAAATTAGCCATTGCCAAAAAAAATTCAAAATTAAACATTAATATGAGTAAAAATTCAGTGCAAAATTACCAAAAAAAATATAGTCCTAATAAATTCTTACTTTTTCTTTTCTTTTCTTTCTCAACATTATCAAAAGTTTTGATTTAGTACTTTTGTGAAGTTAAATGAATTATAACAATGGCTTTTGAAAATTGATAGGTATATGTGGCTGTTGTACTTATAATTCATGTTGATTGTAATTTTTAGGTATAAGTTTTCTTTTTATACCTATATCAAGTTATTTTCGTAGGTGAAATGATAATAGTTAAGGTTGAATTGATGAGTTTTTTTGAAAAAAACTCTGAAGAAGTCTAGGAACAACATTTTTTGAGAGAAAAATAGATA